AAATGGAGGCAATGATCGCAATTAAGCTACAACAGCTTGGGAACCCAGAGGCCAAGACCCCCAACCGAGTAGACCGAATCACTACTGAAAAGTGCGAGGTACGCTTGATTCATGGACAGGACTCAGTAACTCTTGCCATTAATTTTAATGGAATTTTTATGAATACCGCCGTTTTTGCGCCTCTGTTGAGATTGAATAACTTGAAATGCCTCTCACTCGAGGGAAGGTTGATGTATATTTCCTTTGAACAACTATTCAGAACACTATCCCTTGACGATGAAATAAACTTGGAGGAATTACAAGTGGACTTTGTGGACGCCGGGGAACTGGAACAGATCATAAAAATCCGTAGCTTAAAGGTGCTCAAGTGTGGTTTTCTGTGTTCCAAAAACATTGATAAAGTGGCTAACTTGGGACAACTCGAATCCCTGACGATTACCTTCCATCCAGAAGGTTCACTAGTAAAGCTTTTAAATGATTTTGCCTCAAAAGAAATTCACACTCTTCGTCATCTGGCAATTCAGCATACAGCGGTAATTTATGAAGAAATGGTCGAGCTGACGAAAATCAAGTCCCTGAAGAGTATTCAGCTAGGATTGAGGAGTGAAAATAGTTGGCTGAGACCTCATCATCAACCTAGGAAGATAGAAGTTCTCTACTGTGTGAAGTGTACGGCGCCCAAATATGAGTCCACAAAATTGAGGCATCATACCATTTTCAAAATGGTTACTTCCAGCCAGCCAACTAAGCTAAAAGCATTGGCTGAGATGTACGCAAGGTCGGAGTTTTCTGTCCACTTTACAGATTCCTGCTTCGATCTTTTAGAAAACTTGCCAAACCTGGAGGATCTGCGAATAAATTTCGAACGCAAAGTCCCCGACCTGGAAAGAATATCAAGATTGAAAAATCTTCGAAGACTGTCAGTGGCATCTCAGGACTTTAGGAACCTATCTCAACTGGAGACATTGGAGTGCGTTGTTTACGATATGCAAGGCATTGAAAATGTAGCCCTCCTTCAGAATATCTCAGAGCTACAGATACACAATCCAACCGCAATTGAATTGTGGGATCTTTTAAAGGAACTCAAGGCCTTAGTCAATATGAAATCGTTGCTTTTGGATAACTGCGATCTTAATTTCTTAGAGCTTGTGGAAATAACGAAACTTAAATGGATAAATTATTTACGTTTGGGAATAGCTGACAAGAAATATATTTTTATGTTTTTACCAAGCAATTTACCGAATCTGACTGATTTGGAAATCACTTCGACTGAATGCGGAAATGCAATTTTTGTACTGAGCTACATTACAATGTCCAAGACACTAAAGTCATTGTCATTGTATCGCTATTATGGCATAACTGTTGAAAATGTCAATGGAATCTTAATGGCCCTCAAACTTCAAAGGGATCCGGAACAGCATCCACCATTAAAATTGCGTGGAATTTGGAGCGATTTCGACAGAGTCAACCAGGTAAGCTTTTAATTAAAAATTAATGGATGAATAGAAATGGATATCTATTTTTCAGATACGATTCTACGATGAAACGTATTTGCAGCTGGAACAAGTCACCGAGAATGGATACAAAAGCAGTGAAGAGTCCGATGCGGACTCCGATAATGAGATTTAATAAAATCCTGCAAACAATTATCCTATTATATTCTATATAGAAGAATATTATTCCCAAGCTATGATAAAGAAAACAAAAACTCACCTCATCCGGTCGCAGGACGATTTTGGAGCAGGCTTCAACATGGTAGCGTACAAAGGGCGAATTAATGGTGGCCAGATGGAGCAGATAACTAAACAGGATATACAGCGTAGAGGTCAAAAAGAAGATGACGGTAGAGACGCGATCGTTGTTGATCAGTAGCTTGGTAACCACTCGATTGGAAGACACCAGGAATCCGGCAATGCTCTCGCCGGCCATTACCGCTTGCGTGTACTGCTTGGGCAGCATCGAGGCGAATCCGTAGAAGCTGGACTGCTGAACGGTGCATCCGATCGCTGTCAGTGCCACCGCCGACATGTTCACCACATAGGCCGTATTTGTGGCAAACATGTGCCAGGCCACCTCGCACACAGCCACGAAGATCAGCGTGGTGAAGGACACCATGTAACCAAAGAGCACCCGCGACTGAAACGGGGCCACTGACAGGACTATATTATTGAGAAGAACCGTCGCAAAAGCCACAAAGATGTACGTCATCGACATGTCCAAGGCTACGGGTCGACCAGGAAAACGAGCTTGCCAGTAATCCGCCGCAATAATGAAGCTGGAATCGATTTCAGAGAGTATTTTTTTTTTAAGATTAAACATTTGTTTAATATTATGGATTTAAATATATTTATAAATACTCACCTATTGTAGGGCAAGACAAATCCAATACCCGCTGCTAAGAGTGCCAAGTAGACGGAATGCCTCTGATCCTTCGGTGCCCGAGTATCGAATTCAGGACTATCCATGCTTCCCGGATGCCGCAATCCGGAGCCAGCCGTAGCATTACTGCTCCTCGCGCGTCCGGAACCATGTCCATCTAATGGCTCGTAGGTGGTTTCCGGCCCACCCACATCCATGGCCTACTGCTGCTGGTTTCCTAGCGGTTTCCGGTCTCTGCTAGTCTCGAGTGCTGGTCAAGATACCAAGCCACCACCAGGTGGATGTGGGTGTACTGTTGTTTTGCCCAAAGTTCTCGCATACAGGGTGCGGATACAAATGGCAAGAGTTATACACAAATCGATAAACAACAGAGACAAGTGGCGGCTCCTGCTAACAGCCACTCGGAGACATCATTTTCAACAAAGTACTGTTTTGTGGAGTTGTGCAATTGTAGCATTCACTTTTCACTTTGTTTTTAAATATTTTCTTTAATATATGTTTGTGGATTTATTTACGAAAAATTACGAAGAAGGACATCTGCTTGTGTTGGCTTCAGTTGGCCATTCTCCTGGCATTTTCTCACCACGCCCGTCATTGCGCATGTGGCGTATGATTGATTTTATTTAAGCACGTCTAGTAGCTGGTCGAAGCCAGCCTGTTGTTGCTTTGTTTGTTACTTCTATTTCTCAATGAAATTCTGCAGCGTGACCATCTTGTAAAATTCCAAAAATGAATTAATAAATATATATTTAATTTATTCAAAATTTAAATATATAATTTTTGCATTCTCATGCTAATAAAATTGAATTATTTAGCCATATTATGGATTTCGGTTTAAACATTCCAATATTTCCTTAAAACATAAAATAATGCAATTCATTAGCATTTATTTTTATAAAATATATATATAATAGGATATTTGTATAAGGGGAATTTACTGTCTATCTTCGCCACAAGTACATCACATTTTCTTTCAGTGCTTTTCCACTTTCTGGTGGTGACCTCCGTTGAGCTCAAGGATAATAAAAGCTACAAATGGCTATAGTTGTTAATATAAATACTAAAAGGAATTGGTTTGGCCCGGTTAAATCATCTCGTAATAGCCGCACTGGCTATAGCATTGGGGGATAATAACGAATCCGCACTGCACTAAACTGAATTTAAAAACACACCTGGCATAGAATCCAGAAAATAGAAATCTATAAATATAGTAGAAATCTGTAGAAATCACTAACAGAATCCCGCTTGGCTTCAAATTACAGCCGTATCTCTCAAAACGTCGTGTTTTAATGTCTAAGCTTTTCTATGAAAATCTAGCCCTAACTATACTAGAAGAAAAATTTCTACGAAGCTTTTACATGTGTCGGTATAAACGGATGCTGCACTCTTATCTTAATATTCAAAATCAATAGATTAGAATCGCATATTTCGTTCTCTTAAAAAAATAATAATCAAATCTAGTTGTTGGAACTTCCAACAAAAACTAACAATCGTCAAGCATCTGAGGAGCACATTGGAATTATTGCTTCACTTCTTGGCGACTCGGAGTCCTGCGACTAAGCTAGAATGTCTTATTGTCAAAGGATGTAAACTCGTGCCGGTAGAACTTTCCAATCTGTCCCGCATTATCTCCGTAAGCCCTCAAAAACACCAAATATTATTGTTGCAACACCTAGGCTGCACCACTGCAGCAAATGCCGCAACTTCGTCGTCTTGTGGTAACTGGGACTGGTTTGAATACCAATGATATAAACGCTGTAAACCAAATATGTTAACTAAAAGTCTTGTACTGCAGTTTCATAAACTGATACGGTTTAAGCCGTTTGGCTCAGATTCCTTAGCTCAAGCAGCTATTCCTCGGTGAAGCTTTTAGTCCTAATTCCAATTCTTTTTCCAAATATGCTTCCTAAAGTTTCTATAAGAATCGGTCAACTAAATTATTAATCTGAAACTGTAAACAATCATATTTCCATTTCCTTTTAAGAGCGCCTTGAAGTCTAATAGTAATGATGAGGAAACATTCATCGTTTTTTTCCTATAACTATTCAATATATTGTTTTAAATTAATTTAATAAAAAATAGTGCCTCCTCCTCGATTCTCATAGGTTGCACTTCATACCAGGCCCAAGAAATCGAAAAAATCGAAATTTTTTTTTTTTTTAAATTTTTTTTGTTTTAATATTTTGTGTTGGTGTTTTTCTTATCCATTTTTTGTTGTATTTTATTTTTGCCGTAATTTTATTTCATGTTTTCTTCCAATTATATCGGACTGACTAATTTTAAATGGCTTTACCTTGATGTTTTAAAGATAGAAGCTTTGGCCTTTTTTCCAAATTAGTAAGGACAACTATATCCGATACGTCCAATATATATCCCAGCCGCTATTATGACATATAAACTGCGCGTTGACATAATGCAACATAAACTTGAAGTTTACATATATCAACTTTGGCCCTGCCCGAAGTTAGCTTTCCTTTCTTGTTTTTTAATTTTTATTTTCCATTTTTCATAGGAATTTTCGATTGATAAGGACTAACTTATTGCTGTGGAAAACCCTTGCACTCCAACTGATGAATTTCCATTCCATTCCAATCTTCCATTCTTTTTAACGTATTAACAGATACACATATAAATATTTATTGCAGTACAGAATATTTTCACATCTTCATATATAAAATATTACAATTAAAAACATGTTTAATGAAGCTAATAATAAATTTTGATTTTGTGACCAGATCAAATGCCCTTTATATAGTGAAGGGCTAAAAACTTTAATGGTTACCGTCCTGCTATATAATAATCAACGGAATGAGCGTTAATAACTGTTTAAAATAGTATAATAAGGATAATAGTGTCTCCAATCATTAGTGCTTTTTCGATGCGTCATCGTAACTGGGGGGCAAGTTCTAGAGGAAACAAAACATTATAATGAAAATATAAATGGCTATATTTTTCTAAACATACATTATAAGAGGGTGGTAAATCACTGTTTCCTGATCCACTGGGTCCGCCCTGGTTATAGGGTGTATTGTAAGCACTAGCTGCAGCTTCGGCTTCTTTGGAATCTATAGAAAGCATAGATTTATTAATAATTTGTGTAAATAATAAACACTTAAAAAATAATCAGATACCACATTTATTCATTTCTTACAATCAGTGTTTATGGTATTAGAGCTGGAACAAGTACAACGCACATAGGTCTTGCAACTGGATAGAAATAATGATGAGTGCTGCCAATTCTGGCTACTATAGGAATTGCATTTTTTTAGGAAAAAATTTAAAAAGAAAAAAAAATCAATTAAGAAGACCACTAAACCAAAAGTGGGAGTAAGACTAGACTAATTTTGAAGACTCGGCTTTTGTTAGTATTTGCTTTTAGCTTTTAACAGCAAAACAATAAATCTTACTTGTCGGGATGGCTTTTTGGGGTACAGTAGTTTGATATATTTTACACTGTAAAATAATATTTGTAAAAGAAAAATAAGTATTACATCAATTTATGGTCGACTGATCAAAGGTTTTATTCAAAAGGCAAAATAATAGGCATGAGGGTTAATTCTGATTTCTCCCACCATATTTTTTTCCGTATCCTCGACACATATCTCTTAATTTTGGCAACAAAAAATATCCCAGTTAATGATAATCTTGATTAGTTATTGGATCTTGCTATTGTATCTTGAAATTTTGCTACTAAGTTGGAGTGTTGGAGTCATTAGACTGCTTTCTTGATGATACTGGCAGTAAGATGGGTTACAAAATGAATAATGTGCAACAAAGAAAATGATTTAAAAAAAAAATAAATAAATTTTAATTTACTCACTTCCTGGCGGCAAGCTGAATCCCAAGAAGCTGACTCCCGAAGCCGCAGTTCCACCCGCAGCCCCACTATTAGAACCGGCTGCCGGCGGTGGGGGCTGACTTTGAGGAGGTGGTCCTCCCGGATAGCCAGAAGGCTGCTGCAGACCCGGAGTATTGAATCCACCGGGCACATTGCCATACCCTCCGAAGGGCGGTGGCCCGTTGTAGGTCTGAGCCGGTGTCACGTACGGGGCTCCTGGCGGACAATTCGGAGCACATGCGGCATACGGAGGCGGCTGAACGTAGCCGCCTGTCCATCCTTGCGGTCCATAACCCGGCTGCTGTTGTTGCTGTTGCGGCGGAGGGGCTGAAAAACCATACCAAGTGGGTTCAGAAGGCGGCTGTGCCTGATGTGCCTGCTGAGGCTGTTGTGGTGGCGGCTGGTGCGGCTGTGGTGCTAGGAAGAAAGAGTGAAAGTGCCCCAGTGATGGGTTAAACATAGCAAGTGCGATACGTGAATTTCGAAGCGAGATCAATCCAATTCGCGGTGCAGTGCCAAAACAAAAGCCGAGTTCTAGATGGATGGAACAGAGTGTCCGCTTGGTGGGTACTTACCGATGCCCGGATACGGCGGCGGATTGTCACTCATAAAGACCGTATTCGGTGCCGGGCCGCTAAAGGCATCGTGCTGGGGCAGCCAGCCATAGTAGCCAGGGGGTGGCTGATAAGCCGGTGGCGGAGCCTCGTTCCAAGCACCAGCCGGCTGGTAGGGTGGCGGATCATCTCCAATTATTCCACCGCGATGGTAGTTGTTCATAGCCGTCTTGGCGGAGCGCAGCAAAGCTTGGCCATACCTGTAAACTGATTTTAAGTTTAAAATACAAAAGAGGATGAGGCAACTACGTACTCTATGGCTCCACCGGCCTTGAAGTGCAGCTTGAACTTCACTTCGCCCACATAGTTTCCGTTGGGCTGAGCTCGAACCTTTCCTTTGATGTAATTGGCTCCAAAGACGGGCTGCTCGATCTCTACGTCTGACAAGGCGATAAACGGAGCGCTAAAGGACTGCATACTGTCACTCGACTTTTTGCTGTTGAAAATCATCCGGTGAGAGGTCAGGTAGATGCGACCAGACTTGGATCCCTTGAAGACAGAGTTGTCCTGGCCAGAAAACTCCATGGAAACACTGTCGCTGTGGAGCAATATGCTGAAAGAAAGAATTGATATGGATTAGCTAATAAAATCTTAAGCATATTGGCGTAATTATCAGGAATCCACGTCATGTTTACGTTTGTGACGTCAGGCCATCTGGAATGAAAGCATTTTCAGGGATGACTTACTATTCTCCGGCGTGGATAAGCACGCCATTGTTGGCGTGAGCCGTGTTAACCGACATGCTGAATGGATTATCCAACTATGTCCACCTAAATTTGTTTAGTTTTTCGGCAACTGCGTTTCGACAGGGTTTGTTTTTCTCAGGCGTCAGCTGGTGATTCATAGATAGGGACGACACTTTTGGAACCTTTGGATTACCCATCTCTAGGTGAACTAGTATCGGAACAGTATCCCAGAGAACATATTTATAAATATATGTAAATTAATATAAACAATGTGATTTTTATACACTTTATCTTTAATACTTTTAATATCATTACAAATTGTTAACAAACAGGATTCAAAAGAATGTAGGATGTAGGAATCCGAAACCCCGATGGTCGAACAAAAATATCGATAGTCGAGAAATCAAAACTACATCGATGCATCGATACATCTGTATCTTTACTGTAACTTTTCACAAAGTATGTAGATATGTGGTTTTTCTATTTCTGATTCTGAATATTTTTGGGCGATATGCGTAAGTTTTAATTAAAATAGACGAAACGATTCCATAAATGTGTCTAAAAGCGTCAAGAAGTGAAACCTAAGGTGGAAAATGTCAAGTTTTAATGTTTTCCTGGTTTATTTATGCCTTATTCAGTGGGGGAGCTTACGCCACTTTTCGGAGTGCCTGCCCCACCCCCCAAAAAAAAATAAAATTGGGATCCACACCCCCGATGGTGTTCAGCTGTTTCATATTTTGATTTGCTGCCGGCTATGTTCGTTTCGTTTCTTAGAACTTTTTTAAAAATTGTTAAAAAAAATCTTAAAATTTTTTTAAATTTTAAATTGTAATTCTTAAATAGTACCGCTCTTTGGGACCATGCCGAATGGCGTCAGTCTGCCAAATCACCCCAATTTCCTGAATCAATTGGCGGCGGCGATTTCCACGGCAGCCACGGCCACAACTGGCAACAGTGGGTCAGTGGGCCCCACTGGACAATCGCCACAGAAGCAGCCGCCCAAAATGGGAAAACCACAACAGTTGCAGCAGGGCAGCGCCCCCATGGATCTGGAGAACGAAAACGAGCACGTTCCGGATGTGACTTCGACCACGAGTCTGAAGGACAAGCTGGCGGCCACTTCCTCCACGCTTTCCCTTGCGGATTCGGCTCAGCTCTATCTGAACGGCCTGATGCACACACCGCAGGGATATTTGTATTTTCCGACAGCCCAGGCTGCCAGTACAACAGCGGCTGGTTCCACACCGAGTTCGAGCAACACTTCAGCAGCAGTTGGTGCAGGTGGAAGCGGCGCGAATGCCCAAATGCTCATGGATCCCACGGCCATGATGGCAGCCGCCATGCAGCAGATGCAACAGATGCACTATGCGGCCGCAGCTGCTGCTGGAATGCCCACAGAGGCTGCAACGGGAATAGAAGCGGCCCTTGCGGCAGGTAAGCATATACTAAGAGTCGGATACATGATTTACCTTTGCATTTCTCCCCCACCAGATGGAACTGCCGCGGCTGGCCTCAAGGAGGTGATCAAGACAAAGAACTGCATCCTGTTTCCGCCAAACCCGAATGCCCCACCGCCTACGATCCGCGAGCGACCACCTGGATGCAGGACTGTGTTTGTGGGAGGACTACCCGAAAACATTACGGAGGAGATTATACGGGAGATCTTTGAATCATGCGGGGATATCACAACACTCCGAATGTCCAAGAAGAACTTCTGCCACATCCGGTACCGCCAAGAGGCGGCCATCGACCGGGCGATCTATCTATCCGGTTATAGATTGCGTATTTCGGCGCTGAACGAGCCCCCCAACTTTGGTCGCTTGCATGTGGACTACGCCCAGGCGCGGGACGATCAGTACGATTACGAGTGCAGGCAACGTCAGTTGCAGCGGGAGCAGCGCCACCGGGAGCGCGTATCGCTGGACAGGATGCGATCACAGTCGCCGCCACCGATACCACACTATACGGATCACGAAGCAACGGCGGTGGCGGAGCATCTGCGCGCCAATGATACCTTCGTGAAGGCCATCCAGACCATAACTGCCTGGCTGGAGCGTGGCGATTGCACCAAGCGGAATGCCAACGTCTTCTACTCAATGATCCAGAGCACACATGCCCATGTTCGAAGACTGCATGCCGACAAGATGCAACTGGAGGAGGATCTGCGCAAGGCCAGGGAGAGCTATCGCAAACAAATGGGCACCATGTCCACGCAATGTAAGTCTCCAGATCACAAATTCATTTCTAGGTCTAGTCTAGTCGGGAATTTAGGTGCCGCTCCCACTTTGAAATCCTATTTTTCTATTTCGTTGCGCCCGGGTCTATTAGCCTATTAGCGTCTGTATATCTGAACAATTTACCAGCGTACTATACACCTACACACACCATACCCTCTACACACACACACACACACTTTAGCAAATCTAGTCATCGAAATATTTAAAGCCAAAAATCCACAAAAAAACACTCTAAAATTTGCTCGCCAAAAGCCAAAGGAGCAAATCCAAAATCGAAGCAGGATCAGGTAAAGCTCAGTCCAAAGGATCAAGACCCAAGCCGGCCAAGGAGCGAAAATCAATGGAAATGGCGTATAAAAAAGGTTTAATTTTAATTTTCTTAAATTTAAGTTAAAGTTACTCCAAGAAGTTCATTCTAGACATGAAATGCTTTCAACACTAATTGAGTTTAATAATTTTAAGTTTATTATTTAAAATAACCCGCTAATGAAAAATGTACCTGTCATTAGCAGTGAAATTATAATAATTTTAAAGACAATTAAAAAAAGTTATAGAAATAAGTTTATTGGTAAAAAATAATGGTAAACATTAAAATTTGTACACAACCGATTTTATCGCCCTTTTTCGTTGATTCGCTCCATTATACGGCAGATTCTCACTCACTTTCACTGCGTCTCGAATCCACCAGAAAAGTAACCAAAGTCTGAAGTATCTCAAGTACCCCCAAAAGGTTTGTAAGCCATAACTGGCATAGAAGAACTTCAAGATACCCAATGCTTTAAAACAAAAGACTCAGCTTTTGTAGATAAACTCTAAAAAAAAAAAACTCTCAGACTCAGACTCGGACAAAGATAAAGATAGGTAACCTGTTGTATTCTCTCTAGATTGTACCTAATATATGAAACGTAACTATTTAAAATATAAATAATAATTGCTATGCGAGGGTCTCACCCGTAGTTCTATTCAAACTTATCATTTCTCACTATTCATTTCTTATTTTGAAAAAAAATCAGTCTAGTTTCGAAAAAGGTGAAAGAGCAAAATCCAAAAATCAAAAAAAGATAAACAAAATGAAAAATAAACTACCCTCTGTCCTCCCTTAATATTATTATATATTATTGCATTATTGTTCAGTCACTCAGATTGAAAAAGTGTTCAATGCCGCTAGTCACAAGAAGGTTTGGGACCATTTCACCAAAGCCCAAAGAAAAAACATCGATCAATGGAAGAAGTTAGCCACGGTACGTACTAAAGTGTTCAAAAATAATCGAAATATGAGCAACTTCAAAGATGTTTGCAATTAATGTCTCTAAATCAAACCAAAAAAATCTGTCCAATAAACTTCATTCACTTCTCTATCTGTATCTGTATCTGTATCGCTCCTGTTGATGTTGTTGTATCCTTTATCGTTCTAGTTCTTATTGTTATTGTTACTGTGGTGTTGCTGTAGTTGTAGTTGTCTAACATTCCCACTAATGTGATTATTTTGTTGGTTTTTAGTCTGCATGTTGCCCAGTTCTCACTTTCATATCCACACAATTTCGTACTATTCCCTTGACGATATCTGGAACTGCTAATTGCTATTCATTCATTCATTAATTTACCCAAAAAATTAATACTCAATTTTGTTGTTTATATTTAATATTATCCAAAAATTCCCATACCACCTCTGATGTCATTTAATAAATCCTAAAATCCCACAATATTAAACTGCCTCGTATTATGTTTTTTATTTAATAGTTGCTATTTAATAGAATGTTAAAGCTTTAGCGAATATAAGATAGTTTGAAATATATTTAAAAATATAATTACTTTTAAACAGTTTTTATTTTTTCGTTCATAATCACTTTTTAGCAATTTCGGTTCAGGTTTCTTGTGTTTCTTACTGCCTAGCTTAACGTTGTGACTATACTTCTATCTTCTATCTCTTCTTAGCTTTTGTATATTTTTGGTTTTTTGACTTTATCTATTGTAACTAAGCATTTGCATAACTTTTTCAAAAAGCTTCAACTACTTAAAGCCCATAAATGCGAAAATTTTCTCTAGAACAGAAACAAATTTTGGTATTCTATGGGCCCTACTCAAATCGATTGGTTATGGTAAATAACAGAAAGGACTCAATAAAAAAAAAAACACTTTTCAGGCAAACACATGATATTGTGTGACCAAAACAAGTTAATTTATAGAAAAAATCAACAAAATTCGAAAATATTTTTTAAAATGTGGCGAGGTAAGTAGAGAGAGGACCAAAACAGAGTCATGATAGACAGATCAAATTTGATGCATTCTTTAAATACGCAAATTTTATAGCTAGGTTTATAGTATTAAATATTTGTAAGCATCCATGGAACCAAATCCATCCATTCAACTGCTGTGAATATTAAAATAATTGTGATTTTTTGGAATGCCATGCAGGAACTGCGAACTGTCCAGATCAACGATGACGACGAAATGGAAATCTCCGATGAGGAGAGGGATTATGAGAAACGCAGCGCCAAGCGATTTCGTTATGATAGCGAGAGCTTAAAGGTAGGCCTCCAATTTTAATCCATTTTATTATATTTAATACCTCATTTTAATCTTCTAGGATGAGAATGACTCTCTGCGTTGTCAACTGGAAGCCATGCGCCACGATATGACGGTGGAGCGCAGTGATTACGTCCAACGCGAGAAGCAAATCAAGGTGCTCCAGGAAACCATTCGCAACATGCAGACTCAGCTTTTGCAGACCAAGTTGCGGGAGCAGAAGGACTCCAAGACCATTGATCAGCTCGAGAGAAATCTTAAGGACGCGGGTGTTAAGCAACTTCTCTTGAAGACTAAGATCAAGGAAACCGCTGACAAGTTAAAGGACAAGGAGGCCAATAGTGCTGGCACTTCGAATGCTTCCAATAACTCGAATCATTACTATACCAGCGAGGACTCGAGTGACTCGGAACCCACTGAGATTAACCGGCCACAGTCGGAGCCAGAAATCATTGAGATTGACAAGGACGATGATGTGCGCATCATAGAGCACCAAAGTGGAGTGGTGGAGATCCACGAAATTGAAGACGATGACAAAGTCGAGCCCTCCAGGGCTACAGAGGTCGAAAAACCAAAGGAGTCAATTACAGATAGCTCTAAGTCAACAAGTGTGGAGGAAGATCTTACCTCTTCCAGCCAAGAAGTCAGTTTTCCAACAATTTAATTTAAAAACTTATAATTAACTTGAAGAACTATATATAACTGTTATCAATTTCTTTTGCAGACCACCCCCAATGCTCCAGCTTTAAAGGAAGCCAAAATAATAGCTCTTGCATCCGCCTATCTGGTGCTGCATCCCCGTGGCGTGAACTTGGCCAACATAGCCAGCTACTTAAACGAAATACTCTGCAACAGTGATGCTCCCACTAACCATGATGAACTTGCCAATATACTCAGAAAGTACACAAATCTCTATAAACAGAATCAGGCCAAGTGGCGCTTCTGTGGCTTCAATGAACCAACCGAATCTCCAGAAAAATCGCCATAGGGGGGGAACAGTAAATCGTAAACTGGAGACTCAAATAAGATGACAATTGAACGCTTTAATTATGTTACAACTATATCATAATGCATAGCAACTAAGGGAGGAGCAAAGTGACATGTTAACCAATGGAAAGACGCAGGCTTTTCGCTGCAATCCCAACCTAATGAGACCAGTTCCATTTTTAAGGGCAAGTACTCGTAGTTAACTCTATCAGAAGAAAGACACCACAAACTAACTACCGTTTCAATTATTTAAAAAAAAAACATCTCAACCTTAAGAACACATATACACCTAAGCTAATTGAATTCAATATATACAATATATATATACATCAATATTTTAAAAAAGCCGAGAGGCCGAGGGACGTGCTAATTAAAGTCAGAACTGCTTTTGTTGAACGAAAAGCAAAAGAACGGAACCAAATAAATTTTATTCTAAACTTTAAAAAGAGTGTTTTTATTTTAATAATAGTTTGGACATATTTTTTATAGTTTGGCAATTTTTGAGGATTTTGTGAAATCCTTTGTCATCCTGTTACCTTCAGGATATTACGTGACAGGATTACGTTTCTTGCGTAAGCCGTCTAGCAGTGCGCCAATTGAAGCTGCGCGTCCTCTGCCAAGGACATCCTCCACCTCCAACAGCATCCCTCTGCCACCCAGCCACCCACACGTTAACTACTATGACGTGATGAAATTCCAGATTCGGGTTTTGAATTTCCGCACCCGCCCCGCCTAATTGTGACGTCAAAGCTGTGGTTTTTTCGGATTTAAATATCGTTCCCACTTGAAGATTTAGTGTTAAGTGAATTAAGAACGATATGGAGAGATGTAAGAGCAGCAGGGGCGCCAAGAACAGAGCGAAAATTTCCCAAAGCAAGAGCCAGACCGCACCATGCAGTGTCGGTGTTGTTGGTGCGCCTCCAGCTCGGCCGGCGACGGCGTCGACGTCGACGAGGGAGGCCCGTCTATATCAACGCTATCAGTCGTTTTTGCGAATCCGACGCGCGCGGTTCTCGACACACTGCAGGAGGATTCCCATCGATTCGTACACATATACACCGGATGGTTCGCTCATGTCCAAATAACTGTGCCCCCCTCTTGTTTTTCTCTGTGCTTGTGAACTGTAATTTTGTCTGCCGCTGTATATTTTAACGTTATTTCGTGCACTTTCTTTCGCATAATAAAACAAGAAATCAGGACAGTAAAAAAAAAACGAGAAAAAACTACAAGAATCGACTTCCTGCTCCAACAAAGGACAATTCAAGTTCAAGTGAGAGGCTGTGAAGGGGAGATAGCTTTTGTGTGTTTGTTTTTGGCGGGTAAGTTTGGGTTCCAACCGGTCTTTTTTTTTGAAACCCCAGTTGTAAGGATATAGAACAGACCAGAAAAAGGTTTATTTTATTAAAGTTTATTAGAAAAAATATATAAACACTGATTTATTAAATATTTCCTCATAAAATCATTATAATAAAATGTAAAATAAAATGTTTATTATAAAATGTCATAAACTGTGAAGCGTTATAGGCTTTAAAAAGTCTTTAAACTTAAAATTCTTAAATAAGTAAAAATTTTTTTAGTAAACAATAGCCATAAATTTATCAACTTACGAAAGTCTAAAGTGTTAAAAGTTTACACAAAAACTCTAAAAAAAAAGATAGAGGAAGTCTGGAAAAAGTTCCAAGCCGCTTTTTTCACCTGTGTTATAAGTACAGGTGCTTGACTCACTAAATCAGTGCATTGACATTTCTAAAAAGGGGGAAAAATTATGCTACTAGTTATAGTACATATGGGGTTGCACACCACTCTCCCCCTTTAGTTAGAACTTAGTATTGGATATTTTGAAAGCAAACAATGATTAATTAGGGGCTGCATGCGTTTCGGAACTGAACTGGAGAACATGTTATTGCGTTGTCGATGGGGAAGAGCTTTGTGCTGAGTTAAGCGTAAATTTGATGAGACACGGGAACGTGCCAAATGTCAACATGGTCTATAAAAATAAGTCCGATTCATAAAATACACGATTTACACATTTATTTATGGCATGATCCCGAACATAAGTTTCCCCCAACCGCAAAGTACTTCCAGGTATTCGGAAACCAAAAGTTCCCCCGGCTACATCTAATTACTATTCACTTTCCGATTCCAATCGGAGGGAAAAGAAATTCTAAATTGAAAAATATTCACGTACTTGTCGGTTGTATTTTGCATTGCAACATTTTTATTTTTGAACGAAAATAAAAGCATTCATCTTTTATTCAATTGGTTTGTATGGAAGTGTTCTGGATTGTGGATGATAAGGCGATAGATATATTGGCAAATGCCTTGGAAGCCACTTCATGGCTGATAAGTGGATGAAATCGATTGCATGGCTTTAAGTGCACCTTGCTTGTAGACCCTGGTACTGTTTTCGAACAACTCCCCCCCAAGCTGGGCGGAACAAAATCAAAAGAAAAATGAATCGGTTATCGTAGGGGGAGTATTTGAGGAATTTTCTAACAAAAAAAAAACCCTTCTTTTGTTTACCCTACACTCCCTTTCCCCTAAACTCTAGTAAGTTCATTAAAGTCAATGCATTTGCATTCGAAACACACACTTTTTCAGCTGTTCTATAAAAATACATTTTAACTAGAACTGGGGCTGGGTATTACTGGGCCTAGTTCAAGGGCAGCTCTACCATTTAAATATTAAATTTATTTCGAGGGGGATTCCTTTAAGCCAACTGGAGATGCTCATCCATAACCCCACTCTTAATTAGTATATGAGGAAAATCAGGGGAAATTTTCCCCCACCACAAACATGTAACGGGGAAAATGAACATCACGTGTCGCGACAGGGAATTGACAAGGGGGCGGCATGGGAGGCGATTCAATTGGCGGGTGTAATTCAATCGAAACATTGTGACGTCACATGGAACTGGGCGGCTTTGGTTGCAAAGTGTAAACAAACTGCATTGACCGACACACAGATACTGAACGCAGTTACAACTAAAAGATACAGATACGATGGCCTTGGCCATGTTGACTCATTTGTGTGATTGGCTTTTAATCCAAGGAAGGTGTTGGAAACTATTTGCATAACAAAAATATCCAACGAAATCCCACTGTCAAGGTTAAATAATAAAAATAATGTCCTAATCCATGTGGATAATAAAATAATGCACACAAATTGACGTATTTTGTGACGTAAAGTTGACTATTTAATGCCACCCACACATGGGATAGAGGACGTTTATAAACAAATCTATAAATATTTATTTATTTCCTTGCTGGTGCACAAAATCAAGCCCCTTCTTTAATAGATCCTTATTCCTATATGTATGTTAAATATTTTACTCATAAACAAAGTTGAAAAGAGTTCAAAAATATTTAACAACTTCGGCACGTTTGTTTACTGAACTTTAACGGGTCCGCCGCTCAACGAACTCTGATATTGTAAGAATTTCGGAAATTCCCTTCACGTTTCAAAAATATATACATAAACACTCGATATCAATGAAAAGCGTCATAAACACTTAGTTAATTTCAAAATAATTTGCCCTCAACCGTTTATATTTCTTGTTTCTGTCATAATTTTGTAAATAATTGAATTCCTCAATTATATTTAAAATTTTTGTTACATCACCAGTGAGTGCACTTTTGTAATTCATTTCATGTATTATGAATATTTTATCATTTACGAATCTGTAGTTCCTTTTTTATTCTAAATACGGAAGTTGCGGATTTTCCGTAAATACTATGGGAATACTAATTAGATCTCAGCTGAAAAAAAAGTTCCCCAAACAAAAAAACAATAAGTCAATCAACTGCACTGACGTTGATCGCTATTTGTGATACGTTTAAATTTTTTTATGGGGCTCACCAAATGACATATATATCAGGTTACCCATACTATAGTTCCTATACTATTTGGTTCAATATAAATAAACGGAAATCCATCATTAAGTGAAAGATTAACGGGTGCCAAATAGAAACAAACATTACTTGAACTTTGGAAGAATAAAATACTTGTGTGTTTTAAGCCCGTATTCCTATCTTCTGAGTGTTATTTCCCTAAAACCCATATTTGCCAATTTGTTATGCCCCATTTGAATTCCTCTCGAACAAAACACCTGTTCTCGTTTATAAAAATACCTAATGTCGTTCTTTATTGCCGAACACACACCTAAATTCGCTTTTCAATCGTGCGTACTATATTTAAGCCCTCCTCGTAACGAGCCTGCATTAATATCGGGTTTATTTATAAAATTACATCTGTTTTCTTCGGAAACCCTTTGGGTGCCAGAGTCGGCTGTGGTGAAACTTGTTTTTTTGTCGGCACTTTACAAAAGCCGCTTTCTTACTAATGTATTGGCAGGAAATGCGGAATTTGTTGATAAGATTTTTTTGGTTTTCAAGGATCGATTCAAAGTCTGCGATGATTCTGTTTCAAAACAAAACTATAATTTGTAAACTTGAACTGCGGGTCAATGTACCATTAAAATATAAGGAGAGCTGAGGCGCGAAATTTTTAATAAAAATTCCACAGATGTGCCTTCTGTGTGGTCCGTTCGAAAAGCTTATCAGTCTCCAAGTGCCAATTCATTCAAAAATTCGTGTTTGTGGCTCGACTTCAAAGTCTATTATTTGTATATTTGTTATCAGTCAGGAATAACACATGACACACGCCAAGAAAAAAATACAAACTCGCATAGTTACGCCCAAGAATAATTTCCAAAGAGATTTAAGTAATTTTTCACTTTAGAATAAAAAGGAAAATTGGCAGTGCCAACAAATGTAATGACATGTGATTTGATGAGCGAATAATAGGCCCTCCAAGTGGGGCAAATATTTGTGGGCCCTAATGGGAAAACATTTTCCGTGAATGCTATCTTGTTTATCCAAAGGTACGATTGATAGTAGCTTGTTCAATTGTGCAATTTGTCAGTCGAACGAGGTAAACAAGAGATATATCCTATGCCGATAAGTCGAACAACAATATAATAAGCGTGATAAGGTTGTGTTGATATAGGGCAGCGGAATTTGGTTTAACGAAAGGGCATATTGTTTCTAAAGACTCTGAATATATTTATAAAATAGACCACTTGTTTTCAAGTGAAATTGTCTCCTGGCCCTGATACTGGCACTTTAAAGGTTCGAGGCTATAAAGTGCAAATACTTGGGGAAAAACTAATAAAGTACTTGTGCGACACATTAAATCTAATGGGGATCTAGGAGCATCTTATCAGTAGTCGCGCTGACTATTAATCAAGTGCATTGCTACTGTGGAGCACCTTATCGCCCGGACTTAGTCGGACCTTGGGGTCTGGCCGGGAATCGCAATCGGTAGAGCTTTCAACATTTTCCAGTAACTAGGATCTCAGAACCCGGAGTTGGCAATCGAAATGAAAATGTGCCTACAAGGCAAATGATTGTAATTATAAATTAATAATATGTATGG